TTATTTTGAATAAACTCTAAATTAGATAAAAGAGAATCATATCAAATCTTATCCTTCCATATGATAAGATTTAAGGATTAGATTTAAATGATCTTGTCTCTAAAAGATAGGGAATCTTCCAAATCTTATCCTTCCACAAGTGTGATAAGATTTAAATGATTTTATCCCTAAAATATAGAGATTCCAACTCCTAAAAATTAGGAGATAGGGCTGGCCTCCCTTGCATGGTTTGTGGGCCGAAATTTCCTTCCTCAAATGGGCCTCGTAACACATTAATAATCTTGGGCCAGAACTTCCAGACTTGACATTCTCTTGGGCTAAACCATTGGATATAAGATTATTAAGTGCACTCCTCATCCTTTTACTTCTAGCTTGAGTCATTGGGCCTCCAATGTTGGATAATGGATCTTGAGCCACTCTTTGAGCTTGGACAGTATTTAGAACCCGAACACCTTGATCATCTTGGACTTGATTACCATGGATGTTCACATCACTTTTTGAAGGAAGGATTACTGGAATGTCAGTGAGCGTCGATAGGAATTTCATTTGGAAGATCGCGTGGCAACCATTTGAAGTGCTTCTGTGAAGGGGGCAGTTGGCCTTCCTTTGTTCTAATTTCGTAATATTATTTTCGTTCCTTCTTAGTTATTTATATCAACTTTAGTATCTAATGTTAGTTTATATTGTCAGTTGTTTCGGTTTCTGGAAGTTGTATTCATTAGTTTGTTTGAAACATAGTCTTGGGGACAAGACTGTTTTAAGGGGAGGGGTCTGTCACGCCCCTGGATTATTTAGGGGTTAGATTTTATGAAATAGAAAGTAGAAGGACCGAAGTGTCATTTTAGAAAATAGGTAGACTATAAATTCTAGGCTGGGTCTGTAATTTAATTTATCAGAATTATTATGCCAAATTGAATTTTTCCATTTTTCCTCTTCTTCTCCGTTTTTCCCCCAATTCCCAAACGCTAATCCGGCGACCTCCGTATATTTCTTCCTTTTCTCTTTTCCGGCCACCCAAAAAGGCCCCCGGTCGTGACATTCTACTAGTGCACAATATAGCCCAATAACTCTCTTCTCCTTCTAACTTGTCAAACCGAAAGAAATATTGTGAACTTATTTCATTCGGAAGAATCTAAATATGATTGTTTATTGTTCTAATACTTTAGGCATTAGCCTCCTTCATTGTAAAAAAAAAAAAAGAATGTAAATGATTGTGATCGTATTTTATTTAAAAATAAAACTTTATAAAATCTGTGAAAATTGTGATGAAATTAAAGATTTTGTCATTTAATTCATTAGGGTTTGTATTTTGGTGATTATACCTTTTATAATTCAGGGTCATATTTTACGTTAACTTTCAGTAGCTATATTTTTACTAGAAATAAAAATGTAGTAGTATAACATAAAAATATAACCCTTTCTATTTTTTTGAGAGTTGATAAGATATTTCAATCCAACATTTTTCAAGGTAAAACTATAAATTATGGGTAGATTGGTTCTTATTTTTCGTTTATTTACTTATAACATTTTTACCTTCAATAGTCTCTAAGTCTTTTTTTTTTCCCTAAAAAATTAAATAATTATTTTTTTAACAAGAAATGTAGAATTTATTTAAAAGAATAATCCACTCAGATTAATTAAATTTAAACGCTCTTTTACGCATGCACGACAAGTGTTAAAATGCCAACTCAAAATATTCATCGGTTCACCAGGCATCATCAGCCAGCAGGAAATTAGGAAGGGGCACACAGTTTCAGGAAATAGATAAGTCGTAGTATTAGCTTTTGATACAACGGCATAAGCCGCTTAACCGCATAGGTGCAGAGTCAAAAGTTGTTTCAAGAGTTACAATTACGTAACTTTTGTGGGCCAAAATAAAATAATTACAATAACAAAAGATACAAATGTTCGACCAAATGTCAGAAGTCGAGCATTCCACGTATTTACAAATGATAAATTTGATTCATTCTAGCATTCAGGTTGAATTTGGATTGATTTTTTTGTTCAATTAGTTTGCTGCAGAAAGTAATGTAAGCCTTGCAAATGATATATATATATATATATATATATATATATATATATGCTTTGTCAATTTCTCAAGGAAGCTAAGGGAAAATTTTATGAAAACAAATTCCCATGCCAGTTTCTATTGTAAAATTGTTGCACATTTTAATACACATTTTTATGCTTCTTATGACTTTCTACATATTTAGCTACTTCCTTTCTTTTAATGTACGTGATTCAATATATGTAATTTTTAAAAAAATTAATCCAACTTATTCTTTCTGTTTCAAACAAATAATTCGCATTATGATTTGTGAATTGTGTTAAAATACAGTACAATTTACAAGCTGTTAAGTCGATTATTCGTTTAGGGCGGAGGTAAAATTAATTAGTGAAATGAAATCATGTCTCTTCATCTATGTGTGTCTCGGAAATCTTGAGGGCACCAGAGCTGTAAAGACTTAAAAAAAAAAATTTAAAAAAAAAAGAATTGCGAGATGGCTCCATATTCAAAAGGTTTTCGTATGGTGTAATCCGAGGCTTATGTTTTTATAATTCTAATTATCTGCCTCTTAAGTATCATTTTAATTTTACAAAGTATAATATAGTATTTCCAATTTATTACAACTATTACATTTAAATTTCACCAGTGAAATCGTTGTGCATGTTGCAGATATACTTACGTAAATCCAAAATAAATTTCTAATTTAGAATTTTACTTTTAATATAAATTATACGTAAAAAATAAAAATGTAAATTGGATACTGACACAATGGAAATATAATAACCTCTCTTTAAGTATAAAGAATGAGGTATAACCATATACTATTGAGCTCACACACTTCATTAGTACGAAACCGGCGTGTTCCAACCACGGCCTGGCCAATGCTTATCCAGTCAGACGTTGCCAAGACTTGTCGAGCCACTGAGGGCCTGTTTGATAATTTGAATTACTGTTTAAAATTATTGGTTTAAGTAATTTTCAAAATAAGCATTTTAGACAATAAAAAAGTGACTCATTTAATTGATTATGCACTGCTGAAATTAGAGTGCAAATTTTAAGCAACAAAATCTAACTTAATGTTTATTGCTAATTACTCTCATCCATGAATATTTTATTATTCAATACACCAATTAAATATTTTTTAAATATTTTAATAGTTCATTTTGATTAAATAAAGTCTCGTTGTTTTCTCCCATAAAAATCTTAATTTATTTCATACATATGTGTTTTGTTTTTTCTCTTTTAATTTATTTTCAAAGATATAAATATTTATTACTTTATAATTTGGTTCATTCATTATATTAAGAAAAATGTCATGCGCATTTTAGTTTGCCATTTTACAATACATAATAATTTTATGGTATGTATTTTATGAATAATGAACATAATTACTACATAGTTAGGGAAAAAATATTTTACAATAAATAAATTTTAAATGATTACAAAAGGATAAATTAGTAAAATTCACACAATTTAGCATTCATATCGGTATTTTTATCAAACAAGAATAGTTCATTAAACACTTTGTTTCAGACATTAAAATTAAAAAGTTAAACATAGATTTAGCATTTCTATTTCAGCATTGAGTATTCAGAATTAAGCACTGATTTTTATCAAACATGTCCTCATTCTTGTGCATTTTGTTTCAGACATTAAAATTAAAAAGTTAAGCATTCAAATTAAGGATTCAGCATTGAGTATTCAGAATTAAGCACTAATTTTTATCAAACATGCCTTCATTCTTGTGCATTTTGTTTCAGACATTAAAATTAAAAAGTTAAGCATTCAAGTTAAGAATTTAGCATTTTTATTTCAGCATTAAGTATTTAGAATTAAGCACTAATTTTATCAAACATGCCCTCATTCTTGTGTTGTACTCATTACGTCTTATAGGAAACATAACGCTTGATTTTATTATTTTAATTAGAGAAACTAGACTATTTTTATAGAAGGGTAATAGTAAGAGATTCAGAAGGTGTCTGGTTCAACAAAGGCTATGGGTTTGGGAATCATAGAAAATGAGTTTCATTCCAAACAAAGGTTAATGGGTGTCAAAACTTCATTTTCTTCTCCAGTTTTTAGTGCTTGGTTCAAATGTATACTGAAATTGAAAATAATTCAAAATTCCATTTCTGTCCTCACATTTCTGTTCTCACCACCATCAATCTATTTCTGCAGATCTATTTCTGCAAAAGATAACAGACAAAATACAAGGCATAATAAAGTAAACATTGAACATATCTCAAATCGAATTCCGTCTGCATGTTCTTTGTTTGCTTAAATGTATTAGTTTTTACATCTCTTTTCTAAACTACCAACAACCCTTTCCCCCACCATGGCCGCCTCTGTTCTCCGCCAGCACAGTCTCAATGCAACAAATAGAAAACAACACTCAAATTGTATAAAAGATAACTCAAACCAAATCTAATATGAGATAGAAGAAAGAAGAAAAAAAGAGATCTAATGGTAGCCCCTTTAATCAATGTTGCGAATTTTTCAGATCTTTTGTTGTATAAATTTGTGGGTTTATTGAAAATCCAATTTATAGGGATTGAAGAGATGGGTTGTTGAAAGAGATTGACCCGATTGGTATTTCGATATTGGATGTCAATGAAAATAGATTTGCAGTAAAATTAAAGTAATAAGAAAACGGAATGACAAAATACAGCAACAAAATCAAAAGTTGAAAATGAAACAAGAGGAGTAGCAAGATGAACAAGACGAAGAAAAATGAGGGGTGTGGCTGGTGATGTTGATGGTTGATGGCAAGGGTGGTGGATGAGACGGAGAGAAAAAAGGTGGAGGTGATGATAAGGGCTTAAAATAGAAAATAAATAGACTATGAGCAAATTCTATCAAACCCACAATTTTCTAGTGGAATGGATAATTGGAGTGAAATTCAAATTAGTGGGCCCAATTCATTTCAAATATTTGAACCAAGCACTTGAAAATGGATTCAATCCCAGTCTTTCATTCCAAACCCTTCCATACCCCCGAAATAGGCAGCACCTCAATCTCATTGCGCCTAAAACTCTTTGGAAAGTCCGAATTGTGAAGTCCACAGCACCTTATCCAGTTGATAAACAGCCAAAGGAGAACGCGTGGTCAACGGTTTATAGATTGTAGTTCGAACCACCCCCGTTGACACATTCACTTGCTTTTGGTTCGCCTTGCCGGAGAAATAGAGAACCAAAATCCGGCCGCCGCGGCCGGTAGCTTGAGTCCTAACAGGGCTCCTCGTTGTTGCAAGGGTTTTGATGGTGTAGAATCTGGGAACAATGTGATACAGTACTAATTGGACTAGTTCTTGAGTGGTGAGACCGTTGAGTGTTCCGGCGGGGAGGTTTCGGAAGGCGGTATCGGTCGCAGCAAAGACGGTGAGGCCTCCGTAGGAGTTCGCGTTGACGTGGTTGTTGATTTGGCTGGCTAGTTGTGTTTGATTGAGGAGACGAATGAATGTTGAAAATCGGCCAGCTTTTTGAAGAATGGCTAATATGTTGATTGGCTGTGGCGCGGCGCCAGCGGCAGGGTTTGATATTGCAATGTTGACTTGAGAAAATAGGAAGAAAGTCAAAAGCAGGGGGAGAGCTGCTGATTTAGCCATGGCAGCGGCGGAAGACGTCGAGACTGTGATGAATGATGATTATAGTAAAATTAATGGCGAGTTTGGTGAGAAGCAGGAGGAATTGGTTAGTGTAAAGATAGCTTAATTAGGATGGTCATATTTTATCGCCCAAGAATGCATGTGGATCTTAGAGAGGTTTGACTTTTTGGGATTGTTGGACTGAGCTGTATATAACATGCACGGTTGATTAATTAATTTTGTACCAGAGTACTGATATAACTGATTACTATGAATCAAATGTTAAGAACAATTATTAAGATCTGATGGAGGATCATTGATGAACAATCAAATGAGTGAGTTGGGAGAGCAAGTGCATAGTACTTTCTCTCTCTCAAAAAAAAAAAGTTCAAATTGTTTTCCAAAATTTATTCTAAAATTAATACAAATTTTAAAACTCAGTCAAAAAAGTTCATCATTCCGATTTTGTCAATAAGATTTTTATTTTTTATTTTTTTTTAGGTAGAGGGAATATAGAATTAGGACTTTAATTATAAGCATTTTGTACTGTGTTCACGGATTCCTTTTCGACATGAAATAGAGAACATGATGGTTAAAAAAAAGAAAACTATATCAATTTTAATTTAAGAATACTATAAAAGAAAGATATAAAACCTTTATGTATATTCTACTATTTGCGCATTCCTAGCAACACGGTTAATTCCGAACTGAGGGACACCAAAACTAAAGAAGCGTTGAGTAACCATATTTTGTTTCTTTTCATTATCCATGTTTTCGATAAAGGGTAATAGACATAAAAAGTGACCACCATATGCATTATGCATTTTGTGCAATTGTGGAAAACTCATACATATGCCTTTCTGGTGTGCGCCATGCACATTGAATATCATATTTTATTTATTTATTTATCCAATGGGTCACGCGCGGCTCCTGTGAATTTGGGTGGGGTTGAATTCATTCATTTATATAAAGACGAGGAAAATCATCTTCCTTCCACTCCAAAATAAAATAGAAGTTCCTATTATGTTAAAATTATGGTTGACAAAGTCAACTCACCAATTGCAAGCTCATCCTAGAAGTAGAAGGTGACTGCTTTGTAGGGGGGACCAACTTTAAAGTTTTTTAACAATGATAATTAATGAGGAATAAACTACTCACGTATACAAGATACATTTATTCGCCAATTCGACGTTTTCATACGATCAGACTTAGACATCCATATATGTTAATTCAGGATGTGCAATTTTTCACTGGATTAATTGTGTTTCATCAGAGAATGAGAGTATTATATAGTATATAAATATTATTTTTTCTGTTACAAAGTAATTACTCTAAAATGACTGTTGCATTATAAATTAAAGAATTTAGTCATTTGGCGACGCACTGTAGAAAATAGGAAGCGGTTTTTTTAAAAAAAAAAAAAGAAAAAAACCCTCATCTCTGCTTATTATCCTCTGTATTTTTTTGTAAATTAGTTGACAGCAATATACTAAGATAGAAGAGAATCGATTTTAATTACATGATCCGAATGATTCCGATGACGAAAAGAAATGGACACCAAATTAATAAGTATACAAAGTTTCAATGTACAAGAAATGGAAAAAAAAAAAATCCAATAAACTCTGTGGGAAAACAACAAATTAAGAAAAGGAAAAAAAAAAAAACAAAATGTAACCTCAACCAATGAAACAGAACTGCCTTACGAACGTTTTGAATGGATCTTAATTAAAAGAGTAATCCCATGCAAAGCACCCAAAGCCCAGAAACCAAACCCAAACCAACTTTCACGCTCTGAGCACCATTCCCGGGAGCCGGCTCCGCCGCAGCGGTGGCGGTACCATTGGAAGAACCCTTAGGCGAACCACCCTTTGGTGTGGTAGCCGGAGCAGGCGCCTCCGCCTTGGACTCGTTGAATTCCGCCGGCCACAGAACTTTATCCACTTGGAAAATGGCCAAAGGATAGTCCTTCCTCACCGTGTTGTAGATCGTGGTTTGAACCCCATCAGAAGATGTTACATTCACTTGGTTCTGGTTCACCTCGCCGGAGACAAGCAGCACGAACGGCTTGCCGTCGTTGTCGGAAGCCTGGGTCCTGACGGGGTTGCTGGCGGTGGAGAGGGTGGTTAAGGTGTAGTACTGTGGGAGGACGTGGTACAAGATGAGCAGGACTTTCTGCTGGTTGGTGAGGTTGTTGAGTGCGCCGCCGGGAAGGTTCTGGAAGGCGTTGTCGGTCGGAGCAAAGACGGTCATCCCTTGGTTGGAGTTGTTGACTTGGTTGTTGATTTGGGTTGCGACTTGGGTCTCGTTTAGGAAACGGATGAACTGCGAGAACTGGCCGGGTTTCGCGAGGATGGCGGTGACATTGATCGGGCCGGCGTCCTCAGCGGCGGGGCCCGGCGCGGGGGTTGTTTGGGCATTGGTTTGGGAGAGGAGGAAGAGGGTGAGAAGTAGACCGAGAGCTGCTTTTGCCATTGCGGAGGGCGGCGGCGGAAGTTACTTTGGGGAGGGTTTATTGGGGATGAGTGAATTAATGTTGTGACTTGAGGTGAGGAGTTTGGATTGAAGGAGATGGGGTTTTATTGGACAAAAAATGGGATGGATATGTTGTAAGAGAGATCGGACTTTTTTGGAATTGTTGGAATGAGCTGGAAAATGGGAGAATATTGGAATCGAGACAAAATCCTCACGGCTGATATTATACTTGAATGATGATGAACAGCACAGCCCAGAGGTAGAAAATAAACAGAAAAAAACAATTGGTGATAAATGATGGCTAGAAATTAGTATAACGTTAGGTCCCTGTTGATATACTGTGATTATTTATTTATTTATGAGAACATGTATTCCGTGAATGAACGAGGTTAAGTTCAGAATCATTAGTCAAAGAAACTAATCTGGAATTGCATTATTATTGAAGACCCTAAAAGACAATAGCTTGGAGAAGAATTTGGTGGATTTTCACATCTAGTAGTTAATTATTTCCAATTATATGTGATGGTGACACTGATTCATTGGTGGCATTTTGGATACTTGTTGATGTACTCGATTTTCATTTTCTTCCGCGTAACTTGTTCGAGTGATTGCTCCTTAAACTTTACCGTGAAGGTCAAGAACTCAATACTTGGGAGTTTTTATCGCGGCCAACAAAGCAACATGCCGAAAATCAAGCAAAATTTGCCTCCCATATTGTTTCAAGCTCACCATTATCAAAAGAGTAATTATAGTGGCAGTAAAATATACTTAGTAAAAAAATTTATGTATAATGACTGATGTTACATAATAATTAAGTATAATTTAAAAAGAAAAATAAAATAAAATTTCAACAACAAATTACTAACAAAATAATTTAAGGATTATATTACTTACACATTAATCACTATATATATATATATATATTTTTACTACATCTATCATTTTCCTTATCAAAATTATCTTGTTATTTTCGGCTTTTCCTCTAGTGAAGTTTCGCGATTTATTTTCGTATACTAAGTCAAGCATTAAATTAATCGCATATCAAATGGTCACAATGAAGTATATATCATGTCTTAACTCTTCTCTTAATTAAGCAGCAGCCCTAAAGTGACTTATCAACAAACGGTCTTACACCAATGCATCCTATGTCAATTGATATCATTTAAACGGTGAAATGTTACCCACACTCGTAACGGTAATAGGATTTGCTTCTCTCAATTTTAATTTAATCGGATCCGGGGAAGTGATTTCAGACTATAATTACAATTGGCACAACAATGGAGTTTAAAATGTGAAGACTCAGTTTTGACCATTAATTGTTAATTTCAAGTTTTAATTTGACACAACAAAGATCAGTGTTATTAAGATTGAGAGACAAAACTAAAAACATTTTAAAAATGGAAACAGATCAGATTGTAACGTTTTACTGAACCGTTGAATCTTTGAAGTAATTTTTCTTTTCCTTATTAAGAGTAGGGTTTTGGCATTCTTCCAGTAGTGCAACACAAAGCAGATCATTTGCGCAAGTCAAGTCAACAAAAAATTACTGAAGCACCTATCAGCAATGGGCATGCCTCTACGGACATTTGATTATGATAATAGTAATAACTTCAAATAAAATTATACTAGTACAAATTGATATAGTCAACGGTTGCATTAATTTTGATAATCGTGGCTGTCAATTTTGAAATATACATATAAAACTATGAACTGGATCCAACAGGACTACCAACTCTAGCAAGTAGCAACGGATAGAGGAGAACATGTATTTTTGTTTTTCTGTTCATTTGGACAGGATAATGCAACGTGGTATTCATATTTTAATCAGGAAAAAATGGAATATATATAATTATGCTGAACTTTTAACAGGCTGGAGGGTTTGGTTCTAACTTCTAACATGGCAAAGGCAAGTAGATGACTTATGAACCACATGGTCTATGATTGTGTGTGTCACCAAAGTTTGTAGCAACTTTAATCCATTTTGCTTTCACGAGCTTCAGACAAACTCCCTCTTCTTTCTCTTCACCCCCGGCGTTTTGTATAGGCAAAAGTTCAAGCCTGTCTAATGGGATTTTTCCCGGCTCAAGGTTATGGCACGTTCCGACGTTATGTTGTCATCTTCCAATAAACGGATGTCTGGTCATAATTAACAACGATCTCTTATTAGAATTACATTATCTCTCTGGACAAATTAATCGTTCTCATTATTGCGAACATTTGGAATTTAGGATCGTTATATATATTATTCCTTATATTCCAAACATAAAAAATAAAAAATCACATTGAACTTTTAAATATGTATTGTTTTCTGCATAAATTTCAAAATTTAATGTAAACTATTCTTTCTCTTCCAAAATTATTGTCCAATTTGAATTCTTACCATTAGTTCATTTCATGCTATAAATGAAAATCCAAATTGGACAACAATTTTGGGACAGAGAGAGTATTTTTTTATAGGACAGAACTATTGGAAAAAAAAAAAAAACTGGAAAACCACACTAGTTGTTTAGGCTTTGTTTGTTAAGTTTTTTTAATGGTATTTTTAAAATATTTAAATAATAACTGTCTCATCCCAACATACATTTTTACATTTTCAATACACTTTTTTACATTTCCAATATAAAAAATACCTAAAAACACACACTAAAAAACGAAACAAACATACCCTTAATTAGTTTGATTAGGGTGGATTTTAGTTTCCTTCAATCATTTGTTTACCTGTCAATTCGTAGAGCATTTGTCAAGCCGTCAGATTCTGTTTTCCCCCTGATCATCACTCCCTGGTTGAATGAAAAGTGGCGCCGACACTTTGATATTTGCTTAATTAACCTCCATGTTGTTAATAATATAAAAGGTTATATAATGAGCATGCAAGTTTAATACTACTATGTTGGGAATTGAAATTTCACTCGTAGTTGTGATTTAAAATTTTGTACCTTCAATAACCACCACTCTCATTCAGCTCGGTTTACATCCGGCTTCTTGATCGACGACTTGATTGATGGATCGTCAGCTAGACTGAATTTTTATTGGATCAAATTTGTTGCATTTTTTCTTATGCAGACCTTCATTACTTTGTTCATTACAAACAATGGCTGATATTGGTACAACCATATTAATGGTCGTTGGCATCTCTTGTGAAACATTTAACTAAAAAACGTATTTAATTTTCTCATTTCTTGACGATATGTTCTCTCTATTCTATATATATATATATATATAAATTCATATTGAATTTTGAAATTTAAAATTCTGATGTAGTTATTTTTTCCAAAAATAGAGGTAATAGTATTTTACTAAAAGAAATTAAATCATTCTGCGATAGAGAGATCAAATATCCCACAAATATTAACCGGAAAAAAAAAATCCCACAAACTCATTTTGTTCAGAGTTCTCGCACTATATAAATAGTGTACCCCATAGATGCATGGCTGGTCATGCCAAAGGGCTTGCAAGTTAATTGTACGAATTGAAATTCAATTTACGTACATAGTAGTTGACACAAGTTTATGCTAGGAATTAGATTCTTGGGGACAGTCAAATTAATGTAGGAATCAATGGTGCATTTAAACAAGACGGAAATGAAGTGGCACTTTCGAATAACAAATTCACATGGAGAACTCATCAAGTCAGGTAGTAAATATTTATTTTCATCAGTTTGAGACCAGGAAGAGGTGTTAAAAAACCTTAATCAAATTACTTGGTACAAACGGACAACGAGCTGATAATATCAGACATCATCAATAAAACAGTTTGTGCGTAATAATTTTAGATACAGGGTGTGCAATATACCAATATATATATATATATATATATATATATACATATTATAGATGCTTGGTTTGGAAAAAATAAAATAGCTACACATTTTGTTTTTTCCTCTTTTTTAGCCAAAAATAAAAATAAAAATAAAAAAGTCATCTGCCAAAGGAGAAAAAATATTGAAAAGTACAACGATGCAGAAATCACACAAAAGAATGTGGAGTAATAAAAGGGATAAGTTTATGAGTAAATTTAAATGTTATTTTAATTTGATTGATAAATGATAAATGTTAGGAGTTAAAATTGTGTAGCTATTTTTGTAAAGTAGCTTTTGTTTCTTCGTATAAGAAATTTTTTTTTTCTTTTAAAAAGGGATGACACGTGGCAGAATGGTTAATGCAATATGGTGCATTTCAAGCCAAAAATTTTTAATAAGAAGTTGCCACATCAACAACCTGTATTCTGCTTTAATAGGATAAATGACACGTGGCAGAATGATTAATGCAATATGATGCATTTGGAACCAAAAATTTTTAATAAGAAATTGCCACATCAACATCCTGTATTTTATTTTAATAGGGTAAAAGGGATATATATCCTACTATATTAGAAACAAAAACCTCCCTTTCAAACACCTCATATGATTGCCACGTGGCATGTAGAAAATACTAAATTGCCCTTTTATCTAACCATAACTAAATTACTAAATCTCCCTTTGCACTTTACGTGCCACGTTTTTTTTTTAATTTTTTCTTTATGTTTCATTCAACTAGAGTGGTTTTTTAAATTGAATTGATCAATTAGGTTTTTTATTACAAAGTGTCAATTTTGTTTTAAGCTTATACCCTTTGGATGAACCTTATTACAAAGCTATTAAAAATCTCCAAAACTAAGTATTGATTTGGCACAACCAATGGAGAACATCAATAAATCATCTTACTAATATTTAAATTTATTAGGATGCTTTTATATTTTATCTAATATTTACTTCAACACATATATTCGATTAAGTTATTTATATTTAATAAGTAACACTTATAAAACATTTCTAAAACATACATGGCGAAATACAATTTTTTTTTTTTGCGAAATACAAATATTTCTATGATCACACTTATAAAACATTTCTAAATCTTTCAAACATTTCTAAAATATATCGCTTCAAATACAAAATTTTATTTTTTTCAAATATAAACATTTCTAAAATCTACAGATAGACTGGACCAGGGTCGCGCATTGCGTGGCCAGACATCACTAGTATATATATATATATATATATATATATATATATATATATATATATATATATATATATATATATCGTTAACCTAAGAAACTTAATACTACTAATTAAAAGATGACTCGAGTAAATTATAACGAACTTTTTACCGTTTTACTTCCTAGCAAAGTTTATATCTACTTCCACTTCAATCTACTTACACCTTTTCGGTTGCCAGTTTGGGTTTTCCCGGAAAAGTTACTACAGGGACTTCTCCTATCTTCTGTTAAAATTTGGGCTCCGAAATTGGTTTTACTCCATACCTCTGCCTTATATTGCGTTTGAAAATTTGTGTTAATCACTCCTCTTTCTTTGTCTCCCGTCGTTTGCCACCTATATCTTCTGTTTTCCTTATTAAAAAACCCGGCTGCCTTTTCACGTTTGTTTTCTCCTTCGCTATTACTTTCATCCGATTTATGCTTTATGCAAGTGGAATGGCCCTTTTTTTTTTTGGGTGCCAAGGCAATCATTGATTCCTAGGCTGGTTCAATAATTTTCTCCTATCATTTTGATTTGTCCTTTTATCTGCCTGAATTAGTCTTGGTTTTGATTTGGAGGTTGTATGAACTTAATACAAGTGAACAGAGTTGTGTTTGTAAAACATGCAGGCTAAGTGTTTGATGGTTGCTCTCAATGAGGCAGCCGGGTTTTTTAATAAGGAAATGAGGGAGCAGTAGAAGAGTCCACTTTGTGGGCAGTGAGGTGTGGTGTGGAAAAGACAGTGAAAAATATTCCATGAACAAGATTTTAATGGTTTACAGTCAGTTGTATCCATTTGGAATTACACCTCCGGCATTGCACACCATGTCATGTTTTATTCTCAATGAAAACATGGAAGGCCAACATATTTCTACAGGCCCCAAGCTACTCAATTAGTCACGTAAGAATTAGAAAAAAAAGGTCAAATCAATATTATCATTCTTGTTATCTATTGATTAATATCATTAATAAGTTAAAAATGCTTTTACACTAAAAAACTCCACTTTTTGAGCCAATGCGCGGAAGAGAAAATGCCTCAAAATGTCATCACAATCAACGTTTGTGTTTTTGCGACGGCAAAAAATTGCTAAACTTAATCCTTAATTTGAAAAAAACGAAAAGGAAAGAGTTCTAGCTTAGTGAATAGTTCTTGATTTCTACTTCACCCTTATGCATGATATGATGGATCAATAGAATCAATCTGGGTCAGCGCTTTCATATCTGTCTAGTGTATATAAAGGACTCGTGGAGCACATTACTCGCATTGTAGCCGCAGTGAGTGTAATAGAGAGCTTAGCAAGTTGATGGAGAATTCGTGAAGAAATGTTCATACACTAGCCTACACAACTTTGGCTTGGAGCCTATGCAGTATGCCCAGGCCAATGCTATTCTCTCGTGTTTAGATCCATTTTTTATTTAGGAAGTTATTACTAATTTTTCAAAGTTTCTCCGGTTTGTGGCATGATTCTTAATGAACTTTTTACTCGAAGGATGAAGTCATGAATGAGGCGGCGGTGTTGGATTTACAGTCCCAAGTAACACGTGAGAAATAGTATTTTCTCTTGTTTTATGTTTTATTATGAATAAAGTCGATTGCAAGTATTAATGGGTTGACTCGAATGTTATAGTATTTCAATTTGTTAGGATTGTCTTTTAAGGTCAGTATTGTTATTTTTTATTACACTCTGTGTGGTAGTTAAGTAATTTAGGCCTTTCTGCCTCCTTCATTGTATCAGAAAAAAATTATAATATTCAGAAATTTTTTTTTAAATAAATAAATACTCTTTTCATTTCGAAATTATTGTCCAATTTGAGTTTTTAATTTAATAAAAATTGAATTATTAAAATTAAAAATTTAAATTAGATAATAATTTTGAAGTTAAAATTAAAAATTCAAATTGGATAATAATTTTGGAGTAAAATTTATGGACGATCGGGATAAGTCAATTTGAACGAAAATGAGAAGGTAACAAGACCCGCAAGAAACCATTTATACAAAGAATAACTAGCCCAATACAAAAATGAATGATAAGAAATCAACTCATTCTCTTTGGACCTAAAATATTTCTGTTGAAGAGCCCGTAAGAACCAAAAGCCCTCAAAGCCAGTCAGACAGCAAGTTTCCCCTCCTCCAAGTAGTCCCCTACCTAAAACCCTTGTTCCTGTCCTCTTGACTCATTTTTACTCTTCCCCAAAAACCCCTCTTCCCCAACACTGCTCTCCGTCGGATTCCAGAAGGTAAACCCTTAATTTTGTCACTCTCTTTCAGGGTCATCCGCTTGAGGTTAGAAGGGAAAGCATTCAGCCTGTATCTTTCTCACTTTTTTGTTTTTGTTGTTGCTGGTTTCTGCCTTTATTCACACGAATAATAATGGGATCTTTTCTCGCCAACTCATTTCTGTTAATCGTTTTCCTCTTTGGTAGATGAACTTGGTTCTCGTCTTAGGTCGAGTTTTCTTCTTGGAGGTCTTTGATTACTACTAGTTTTGGCATATTGGGTTACAATTTTGTCTCGTTTATTTGCTATTGATCTTGACTTTGTTATTAGGTTTATGGTTTTGTGCATAATTGCATTTCCAATACCTTTTTCAATTTTTTTTTTTGTTTTTGTGCAAGCATTGTTGCAATATAGGGTTTAAAACGTTAGTTATTGTCATTTGGGCCTCGAAAGCTTTTGCTCGAGAGTTACAATGGATTTTCTTAAATCCTCGCATTAATCTTCTCTAATGTGGGGTTCGTAATTGATACTCTACAAATACGACATTATGGCTTCTTTTTTTTGTGCTCTTATTGACAATCTGTTCAATTTTCAGCATTTGTGAGGATGAATTTCAAAGACATGAAGGTTCCTAAGGTTCCTGGTGGTGGTTTCCCTTCTGCCTTGATTAAGCTGGGGATTGTCACCGGGCTTGGAGTATATGGAGTTGCTAACAGTCTCTACAATGTTGAAGGAGGGCATCGTGCTATTGTTTTTAACCGAATTTCTGGCATCAGAGAGAAGGTTAGACATTATCCATAGCTTGGAAGCTGTTGAAATTCTGTTGCCCTGATTATTTCTCCTTAATAAAGGAAGTCTAGTTGGGGGTTTGGGTTTCATTATCTATATACTGGTATTTGTGTTCTCAATTAGGCAGTTCTTTGAAAGAATTGGACAAGGAGGTATAGATGTTTTTGAAAGTTCTCTCTATACATGTATTTGTATTTTGGAATGCTGGTGTATGGGAGATTGGTGGAATATTTATGACCATCTTATGTTGATATGCTCCTGTAAGCAGGACCTTCTGAAATCTTGTTCTGAGAGTATATCGCCTTTCTGATCATTTATCTTTAGTGATGTAATCCCTGTTTTATGGCTATGGATGGCTATAGCTCCTTTTAGTACAAATGTGTATCTTATTTCTTTTCTGACTCAGACTCCCCTCTTCTTCAGGTTTACCCTGAAGGCACACACTTGATGGTCCCCTGGTTTGACAGGCCTATCATCTATGATGTTCGTGCTAAGCCTAATCTGGTGGAGAGCACTTCTGGTAGTCGTGACCTGCAAATGGTAAATGAGCACACTCTTGTTGTATTTTGTTAGATATCTAGTTCTCTCATGTTTGGCATAATTTAAGTTTCTTTTGATGAATGGGGTAACAATCCTTCATTTGTATAGATTCTTAATGAATACCACTGAAGTGATGCTTTCCATATGTTCTTTAGATGAAAATGGTAATAAGCATTTATTTGTTTGTATTCTGGATGAATACAACTGAATTGCTTTCCTTATATTTTGATATTTTAAGAAGCCTTATCTAGCAAAAACTGCATTGGTAAACCACAGTGCGGTAATGTTTTAACTTAAGTTTCTCAATCAGGCGGACATGTTAGTTTGACATGCCTATTGCAAGCTGTTGATAAATGTCATATGATTAGTTGTGTTGAGTTGGGATGTTTTACATTTTGCTGTGATTAGTTTTTGTTGTGTTTCTTGTAATGTCTTATTTGCATACCAGTTGGTTATGTTTTGGTAGGAAGCATGTAATTACTTCATGGACATTGTGACCTTCAATTGAGTAAAATTTTTCCTTCAGCATTATATGTCTGCTTTTCTGACTGATCCGCATGGTTATATAAACTCGGACACAGATGTAATTATACTCGTTGTTAGGTTCTACTCTGCCAGTATCCTGGAAGAAAGTATGATGTTTGTGCTGATAGTTTAGTTCGTTGGTCATAACCCCTAGCATAATCACACTCGTAAAAATGGAGTTCTGTTGCTGCATTAGCTTTTCCTGTGTATGGATTCATTCTTTGAATCTATTGAAAGTAACTAAAGACACCATTGTATATTGCTTGACTATGGTTTTATTGTGCAGGTGAAAATTGGTCTTCGAGTTCTTACCCGTCCAGTCCCAGATCAATTACCCACCATCTATCGGACCCTTGGCGAGAACTATAATGAAAGAGTTCTACCTTCTATCATCCATGAAACACTGAAAGCTGTTGTTGCTCAGTACAATGCTAGCCAGCTCATTACCCAAAGAGAGGTACATTAGTGATTCTCATGCTTGACTATTGATTGTGTATTTGCATTATCTAGCCCAGTTGAGGTGAAACATATTCTGTTCGTATAATATTTAGCTTCCAGGATCTTGTCATCTAGTTGGCTAAGATGAAGAGATTCTTTTTGTTTGGTGGTTGTTTTAAACATATTACTTGCAGTTTGATGGCTAAGTATGGATTTTTGGAACTTTAGCCGCTACTAAGTTTGAAAATTTTATTTGTGTAGGCTGTGAGTAGGGAGATAAGGAAGATCCTGACTGAAAGGGCATCCAACTTTAACATTGCATTGGATGATGTTTCCATTACTAGCCTTACTTTTGGGAGAGAATTTACAGCAGCTATCGAAGCTAAACAAGTGGCTGCTCAAGAGGCTGAAAGGGCCAAGTTTGTTGTTGAAAAAGCTGAGCAAGACAAGAAAAGTGCAATTATTAGAGCTCAGGTGAGAAAATTTTCCGTTCTAAAGCTGCTGTAAAATATTAGAGCTCAGTTATGGTTTTTTTCTTGTGTGCTCTTAATGTGCAAGCACTATGAATGCGTTTCTCATGTCCTGAAATGGGTTTTGTTTACTCGCCCTCTACATTTTCCTGTTTGGACAGAAGAGTTTGTTATAAGTTGTAGTTACTCTGTTTTAACCACTTGTTCTACAAAAGAACATGCTAACTTGTATCATCTTTTCTCGTTTTGGTCTCCAGGGAGAGGCTAAGAGTGCCCAGTTGATTGGTGAAGCAATTTCCAACAATCCCGCCTTCATCTCGCTGAGGAGAATTGAAGCATCAAGGGAAATTGCTGGCATTCTCCATAACTCTGCCAACAAAGTGTACCTCAATTCAGACAACTTGTTGCTCAACCTCCATGAGATGAACTTGAACCCCACTGGAAGGAAGTAAGCTCTTGAAGACAACTCTCTATTTTGGTGTCCCAATCTTGCAAGGCTACAAAGGGTTTACTGTGACATAAGGGTAGTAGTACATTGCTTTTTCTTATGGGATTACGGATATTATATTAGTAACCTAAAATACAGTCATGTTGGTGGCATTGAAGGGACTCCATCATTAGTTTACTAATATCTCTTGGAAAATTTTACTCGTATGGTTTTGGCTTGTTAAGCTACTCCTTTATGTCCCCTATTCATTTGGGACGTTTGTACGTTCGAAATTATCGGAAGCGATCGAAGTCCAACTTTAAAGCCACAGAACTTATTAATCAGCCATCAGGATCGAATCACCAATTTCTGGAGTTGGAATACATTTAATGTGGAGTCCTTTTCTCCGCTCTAGTTTGGTTGATGAGTAAAAAGTATTATCAAGCAGCGGTATTTTTTTTATCATTTTTTTCTTTCCCTCTCTACACTTGGAGCACTGGTACATTCCAACTTCGATCGGATCAACTTTTACATTTTATATTCAGTTCTATGAACAAAGGCAGTTGTGGGTGAAAGGTGAACGCAGTCACAAGCCAAATTTAAAAGTGACCAGCTCACTGACAATTTTGATTTGAATCTACGGATTTGAATAATTCGCCAAGAGGCACAAATGTTCACTCATTAAATTCTAGTTTATCTGTTGATTTGATCAAAAGAGGTTAACAATTTCGAAGGATAAATGTAAGCAAACTAGTGCTGCGGGTTGTAAAGGCCAAACATTTATACTGTATTTTTAATCTTTGCATTTGAAGTTTTTACTCTTATTTTTCATGTCAGAAAATTTATAAGATGAATATTTTTCGTTGTCTATTTTATCTTTATGATACGAGAAATGTGAATATATAGAGTAAAATGTAAAGAAAATAAATAAATAAATTCTCTTACTTGGCAATATTGCCTAGCAGGCTGTAAACTTAACAGAAAGCGTGAGGTTTACCATATATATACTTCCACGTTTTCTTAAATTCCATCTATTAAAGGCGTGATATTATTCTTTTGAAAGAAATTAGATCCGAAACTACACCAAATAGAATTCCAGAATCCATACTGGAAGCATAACAAAGTCGAAAGATTGCATCTTTTCAAGTCGAATTTTCAATGGTTGTGAGATGATGAGTTTCTGTTGAGGGAACTTTAGGGTAAAATCACCTTCAATTTTGTTCTTCAATTTCCATAATACAGATTACTCCTTTTGAAACTCTTTCTTTCAATGATTACGAAATCCCAAATGAAGAAATGGACCCTTGATCCCCTGGACACTTCATTTTTTTTTTTTCCATAATGAATCTCATTGTAATCACTGGTAATATTTTCTGGCACTATGCACAGGTACTCCACATCCATTGAGAGTACCTGCATTGAACATAAACGTGTATTGAATAAAAAAAAAATCTATATGAAAGTAACCCATTGAATAAAAAAAAAAAAATCTAAGAAAGGAACAAAAGTTTTAAAGGAAAATGAAGCAGAGAGACATACTTGATTATTTTGAACTGTTTACTGTCATGAATTTTAAATAGAATAATATTTAAAAAATCCCATATAAGATTTAGGATAGGAGTAATCTAGGATAACTTTGACTCTTTGAGTTTTCATTATCAGACTACTTATTTTAAAAAGGTTATAGCAGAAAGTTAAAATAAAATTATCTTTTACGGTTAAGATGCATTGTAATCACGATTAATTTTTTTTTTTTTTTTTACTTCCAACTTAAGTGAGCTCCCAATTTCTTGTCAAGTAAACTATTTTCATCATGTATTAATATATATAGATTATCGTACTCGGTGTCGAGATCTTGACGTAATCAATTCCAAGCTATGATTGCTATCAATTCCAATTTTTCTAGTTTGAGAGCTATGATTGCTCTCTATTCTTTCTCGATACGGATTGAGTATTCTTTGTTGCTTCACATTTTGAGTATAGTGAACTTCCGACCAACTTTTGTTGAATTCCCCCACTTAGATAACCGACTTTGGTAGTTAGTGGAAGATTTCAACCTTTTAATGTGATGCTAAAAGATTATATTATGCAAGAATGTGAAAGGACTAGCTTTGCTGAACTTTCATCGATTCAAGCTTAGACATGTATTCTCTAGTGAAGGTTCTCAACATGTTTTATTTGTCTACTGGATCCTAATGCTCTTCCTTGATGATATTAGGAAAAGTAATGGATTTGCTTACTTATTACTATGTACATGTGCAGCCGTGCATATTAATATTGTAATCTCTTTCAAATATTTAATGTTGGCTTTTTTATTTTTTATTTTTTGTCAAATGAAGAACGATAAGGTACGTTATACGCTTGAGTCTATAAAGAAGCTGTCGAGTTCCAATTTTATAATAAACGACTTCGAGATTTTTCTGTATGTTATTGTCTTCAGTATAAGACTTAAAATTATGAGAAGTTTTTACTTGTTTTTTAGGTAAAAATTATAGAGCGCCTCAAAATCTTCCAAAGCCGTGCTAAGTTATATGGCTTTAAGTTATGAATATGGCAATCTGAAGCTTGTGCATGGAAACATAGATAATGAGAAACGAAAGGTGAATTAATGCTTGTTAGCTTTAGTATGTTTTTCTTCCCATTTTATATGTTCTCATATCTTCATCCCTTCCAGATTGTTTTAGCATATATACTATTTGTTTTAGCTTGCAAAGGGAATGCTGCTTTAAAAGGGGTAGGTATTGTTGCTGGTGATGCTTTTCTGTAATGTCCTTATGGTTATCATTTTATCTTAATTTTATGATATTATCAAATATATGCAGGCCATTTTAAAGTAGAAACCGTTGGGTACACTTAATGATGTTTCATTTTGGGGTATGTGGTATGTGAGGTAAACATTCTACCACTTCCATCTGCATCTTCATATATCTCCTTTTAATGCCTTTTCATAGAGTTAGAATGGCTTGAAAAAATATGATTGTTGCAGGTTACTTGATAGGGAAATTAAAGGTGAATATGCGAACTTTGTAAGAGAAAAGCTTGTAATACTAGGAAAAGCTATCAATCCTCTAAATGTTCTTGTCAGGTTACTACGCCATATTTGCAGGTTAGAACGCCATTTTTCTTTTTCTGTGATTGAAAACGTGATATGATAGGTGTCGAATCCACCAAAATAATTTAACCAATTTAATACTGTAGTAGCAGTAAGTCGAGTCGATCCCACAAGGCTGGGAGAAACTCTAGTTAACCCTAATGATTCAAAGAAAAGATGACAGAGATATCAACATGAAAATAAACTACAACTATCACTCCAACAAGTGAGAAATTCACTCGACTGAGTGGATAGGCAGAAAGTTAAACAGAAAAAAAAACCTAGGGTCGTCTTACACTCTTCTCTATACAATTGTGTTATGGTTTTATTTGCTCCTTTTGCTATATGATATATGCTTGATCAGGCACTTGTGTATCTAAAGGTCCGTGTCATTGTTCCAAAAAGTCTCTTAGCATTACAAACCAACTATCTTTCTATGTTGATTTCAAATTATACGAAGACATAAATTACCTAAGCCTTATGTGATTATCCATTTCAAACAACTAAGTATCATTGTTATTTAGAACCAGAGGTTATCACTCCCCCTTTCATGGACTTGTTTAAGCAGGTCTACACTATGTTCACCAGGCCTGGATTCCATAGTATGCATGCACAATTAGCTAGTTGTCACGGCTAACTAAAAGGTTGATTCAATCACTTAAACTCAAAACAATAAATCATGTAGGAGCATTACCAAAACATATTTGTATAGATAAGAGGGATTAGACCCTAAAGAGAGTTTAGGTACTTATAACTACAGATACAAATACACAAGGATTCATCCAAGCTTTGATTGCTTTGGTTGGTCTTCAACAAAGCCGCTCATTTGATACTCTTTTGGAAGTCAATGTCAAATATCGACGTGATGATGGTGATTTTTTACCAAATTCTTCTTTGTATCGACAACTTGTTGGTAACCTAAACTATCTGACTTTTACTCAACCAAATATTTCTTTTGTCGTTCAACAAGTTAGGCAATTTATGCAAACACCTACTACTCTTCACTTGGCTACTGTCCATCGCATTATTTTGCATCTACAAGATTCTTCTACTCGTGGTCTTTTCTTCCCAGCCAATTTTCCCATTCAATTAGTTGCATATAGTGATGCTGATTAGGCTGAGTTTTCTGATACGCAGTGTTTTGTTATTGTTTGGTGTATGTTTCATGGTAACTCTCTTATTTCTTGAAAAAGCAAGAAACAAGATTGCATGTCTAAGTCATCTACTGAGTCCAAATATCGAGCTATGTCCTCTCCGTGCTTTGAAATCATTTGGCTTTGTGGGTTACTAGGTGAGCTTGGATTTCCCCAAACTAAGCCTACTCAGCTTCACACTAACAACACTAGTGCTATTCAAACAGCTGCAAATCCAGTATTTCATGAACCCATTAACCATATTGAGGTAGATTGTCATTGTATTCGCGAAGCATATGATTATTCTATTATCTCTCTTCCACATATTCCCATAGCTCTTTAAACTTCAAATTTGTTTTCTAAATCTCTTTCTTTGAATCGACATCATTTCCTAATTGACAAATTGATGCTTCTTGACCATCCAGCATCAATTTAGGGGGTGGGGGAAGGGGGTAACCAGGCAGGAATTATGGAGTATATCATTGTTGATATTGAGAATCAAAAGGACTAACCTATGGCTGACCATTAATTGTATATATTCTTAGCTATGTTTTAGGAGTAGATAAATTGGTAAATTAGGTGTAGATAAGACGGTAGGCTAGAAGCTAGACTAGCTGCTTACCTAAGATAGATTGTATACAAATTACTACTTAATGGAAAGGAGCCTAAGGAAAAAGGCATTCAGTCAAATCTTGTTAAGAATCCGCATGATGTTTTTGGGGTATGTTCTTGAAATTACTATTTTGTTTAAATTGACTCTGTTTCCTGTTAATTTTTTAAATTTTATTGGCTCTTCATAATAGGAGCACCTAACTATCACTTGGGGAAATCATGAGTTATCAAAACTCAATCTGGCTACGACATTGGTGAATGCCTTTGTAAATGCTGGATTTAGTGAAGTGAGTTAGCGTCTTTGTTCAAATGAATAATTGTTGTTTTTGTGTTTTTTGTCTAATTTCTTATAGGGGTGATATACTAAAGTTTTTGATATTCAACATTACTTAATTGCTGAATAGTTTCAGTGCTATTCAGCAGTTGAATTTAGTTTCTTCAGCATTATCCTTTTATGAAGAATTCCCGAATTGATTCAGTAATATCTTTAACAACTTTCAATAATGACTCTGAAAGTTTGTTGTCCTCAAGTTTGTCAATTTCTGACTTCTGAATCCCCTTTAAGGTTACTTAATTAACTGAGTCGTTAATCCTTTTGCCTTTTGTAGGATACTATTTTTATGTGTCAATCTGGCAGTGGTCCTTCCACAACATTGTTTGATGGGGGAAATGCTGAAAAGACGGCAGTTGTGGCAGCTCTTGTATGTTTCTTATGCTTATGGACTTAATTTACATTAGGAAATATATTTTCTATGGGAGAATAATGTTGGTTCACCGGAGGTGGATGACGTTTTCTGATTATCAGTAGATAGCACTGTGGGAGAAGAATGTAGGTTCAAATGAGGCTATTCCTAATTTTATATTTAGCTAATCTGACTGAGTTTTTGCTATTTGCTTAAGTCCCGTTTCATTAATATTGTGGTTATTCTTCTTTTTAACACTAATTTTTTCATATTCAACTCATAATTTTGAATTCCTATATGATATATGCATTATGCAAGATCAGATCAAGCAAGATCAGATAGTGTTACTTGCTGGAATACATGATCCAGGTAGCACACCATTTTAAACATCAAGCAAGATCAGATCGCTATGGCGAATCTATCGAAATGAAGTACTTGTAACTCTGTATAGTAGCATGTTAGC